TCTATTATGATGTTATCTTTTAAAAAAACAATAAAATTATCATAGCTATTGTTATGGTAGAAATCGATATCTTAAATTCATTTCGGAAATGAAAATACTTAATTACAAATAATTATTAAAATAAGGATCGTCAAACATCTTTGTTGTACTCATTATTAAATGTACTTATGTCCTATACTATCTTACATAAGTTACATATTAATTCGATTTTTACAATAAATTAAATGTATTATAGATAATAAACGTGTTCGGTTTCGTAGTTGGTATAGGTACAGTGGGTTAGATAATATTATTTCAATACAGACAAATTAATTAACTCATTTTACGGTCAGATAAGTGTACATGTTATTATAATTATATTACGGACGTATAGATAGATACATTTTTATGTCATTTCGAAACACTAAATTAATTCTCCTTTCACTTTTTGACGACAATGAGAAAATTTAGCGGGTTGTGAAAACATATGGTTATTTGTGTACCGCACCTATATATGTGTTTCACGACAACATATTTAATGAACTCCGGTACAAGTGGTATCGGTGCATAATATATACTATAATAAGTGCATATAGCTTGAGCTTTCCACAGAAAGGAAAAACCGTCTGAATTTCAAGAAGGGGTTTGTTCAGAATGTTGCAGTGTGATTATTTACCGAGTCTATTGATTGCGCGTCGAAAGAAACAATGATAATGATTATTGACAATGATTATATTTTACTTATAGGTACACCGATGCATAAATAATAAATATATATATATATATATATATATATATATATATATAAAAAATGCTATGCTGTGTTTCGAAGGTTTTAATAGAGAGTAAATTAAGTTTTCAAAATTTAGTATATTGCGATTGTACGTAGTCCTTTTTATTTTATTTTTTTTGTATTCTAATGATTCTAATGCAGTATTAAGTATGCCTATACAATAACAAACATCGATGTAAAAATATAAATATGTTTGAAAATATTAGGGTGTAATCATTAGGCGGTTCGTTAATTTTACAACAAAAGTTTTTTTTCTTTAGTCTTAAACGTTACAATTCCTGATTTCTGTTGTATTATATTTAGATTTATTTGATTTTATATGCGCGTCATCCGTTAAAAAATTCAATTTATGCTTTCCATTTCAATATAATTTGCACGCACAGAGAATTTGTGGTATATCCATTGTTAGATTATGGGTATATATATGATGAAAATAAAGATGGGAAAACCTTACTGTATTCGTTTGGCGCGTTTCTGTATAGAGATAAGAAAGTTGAGTGTTTTTATTAAATACTGATTTACTATTTATATTGTTTCATTTTACGAGCGAATTCAACAATATATTTTTGTTTTTTGATTAAGTGAGGGGTTTGGCAAACCTACTTTTTATAATTAACATTAAATGATAAACTTTAAAGTTAATTCGTTTTAAATCACCAAAGCATCTGTAGAAGATTAAAAAAATTAAATAAAGAAAAAAATTCACTATTTTTTTAAACACCTCTTTGAGATCGAAAAATAACAGTTCCAAAGTTAGTTTCGTAATCCTTTTTCTATGTGTTCAAATGTCATTTAGTAAATAGAATGAATTAACTTATTATCAAACTTAAAGATTAGCAAATTATCAGTTTTTTTTTTTTTATGGGGTTTTTCTACAATATTTTAATGTTTAAACAAATTATGAGAATTTTTAAATTATAATATTTTACCTACCTAATCATAAGCTGCTTAAAAATTAGAATATCATGAAAAAATTACGAGAAACAAAGACAATTTTCTCATCATTGAGTTTGATAATAAGTCATCTATTCATTCTATTATTGAATTTTACTTTACTCTATTCAGCGAGAGAACTCGATACTTCTATATATCTCTACATAACACCCAGTCATTGAGACTGGTTAGTGGTTTCATTATATTATGTCTATATAATGGATAGATTATGCTTAAAAATGCGTAGAATAACTTTTTTCTGACCACAGTGTATACTCTAGCTGGACAGAGTGTACATAAAGTTGGAACTGTTAATACACATATTTTACGACTTGAATACTTGTAAGACGGGGACAACATATGCGGGTGTGGCGTTCTATAATAAGTAATAAGTGATAATATTAGAGTTAACATTTATTTCTCTGACCATGGATTAATAGAGCATGTTTGGTGTAATTATTTTTTTTCTTATCATTGATTGAATATTTGTTTTTGTAATAATTGTTTATAAATGTAATCGAAACTGTAAAAAGTATCACAAAAAATAAAATATAATGTTTTATTTAAAACATACACAAGTGATTGTAAATAATTAAAAACTTACAAACCAAACACGTAGTACCTACAAACTACTCGAATCTTTCATTTGAAGTTGTAACATTGTGTTGTTATTAAGAGTAATACATTCTCATGTAGACTGTTAAAGTATAAAACTATAATTTACTTGACACATAATATACAATAACAGTATACTGCAATATATGTTAAATATATTGTAATATTACAAATTGATGTCGTCGATATCCTCTAAAAGAAACCAAATAATGTACGCAATTAAAGTATATAATTTGTATTTAATAAACAATATGAAGTTGTATAGATCCACAGTGTTGTTTTAAATATTATGCTTGATTAAAAAAAAAATGGATTAATTACCTTTTAATTGAATGCTCTTAATATAGAGCCTAAACTTAATAACTACAGAGAACTAAATGCCTACAAAAATATCTTATAATTGTACCGTATGAGTATATTATATTATATACTCGAATATTAACTGCCCTGTTGTGAGGTAAAATTAAACAATAACGTTTGGAACATCGTTAAAGAGCCGGTGAAACAGAAACGCAATATCTAAGTGATGAAGAGTTTTTAAGATTCCTTATGGTTTGTTTTTGATTTTTGACCACGACTCATTTAAAAACCTCAGCAATGGCGGTAGAGGTGATGGCAGTGGGGTCGTGAAAGGATTTTCGACGCAGTGTTGAAACGACGACGGCGATTGTTTACCCTTTTGTAATTTCCCGTGATTTTCACTATTTATATGTATAAACGAGGCATATATATATATATATATACTGAGAGACGTCGTACATAACTACCCTCGTAAATTATACAAACCACCCGAAACTGACAAGGGATGTCCGCCTCTAAAAGTTTTCCGGACGTCCAAGCCTTGACGTACATTAAAAAAATTAAAAACTTTAAACAACCATATATTTCTAGATGATTAGTTGAAGCACACAATGTTATTATTATTAAATATATATATATATATTAAGAACAACAAACCTGCGCGGCCGTCTCCGCAAGCACTAGGACGAGAGACTACGTACGTCCTACAGCTGCAACGTACCGTTATTATAATATGTAATATAAACGACGAGAAGAGCGTAGATAGGTGTGTAGTAATGGGGTGGGAAAGGTTGTAAGATTTATTCGAAAAAGAGTAAAGAAGAAAAAGTACATAATTTCCAGGAACAAAGGGAAAAGTTAACGCTACCGTCGTGTATAATAATTGGCCTTTTCGGACTTGCGTTTTTCCTTCTTATGTTTATATATATTTTATATATATATATATACAATTTTTTTATTTTATCCCTCGTTATTGTTATTGTAAATTTTAATTAAAAACGGCAATTAATTCTTGTTATACAAATTACCGGGTGGCCTGTTTAATTAAGAACTCGTGCCTGCGACAATTTTAAGTGAAATTAATGCGAGACCTATGTTTAGTGAACGGCGGCGGAGGTAATAGCAACGGATGGGAAATATGAACTTTATGTTTGAAGAATAAAAAATGCAGCACAAAGGCCTTCCTGTATGATGACGGCGGTGGCAGCGATGACGACGACACCGGTGTAACACTGTTATTAATCGCGCGTCAGAATTAATGATCTGGTTCGGTTTGAAATTAATGAATCTCGAGTCTTAAAATGGATAGACAGCACACATTAGTCGGTGCAGACATTTCGTCAAAATTCCGCGCTCCGATAATAATTAGAAGTTCTATGCGCGTGGTGTGCATGATGTGTGTCGGTAAAGGCATACTCTTGCAAATAAAGGACTAAAAAAAAAAAAAAAAAAACTAGGAAACAAAACTATACGTCATATGCAGTAAACGTAAATATATAATGTATAAGTTGAAAACGAGAAGTTAGTTATACGGGATGAACTTGTATTTAATGTTTATACACCGTGCACAAATAATACATTTTTATTAATCTAGAGCTTACCTAATAATATATTGTATGTACACATATATATATATGTATATATGAATAATTAAAAATAATTAATATTTGAATTGATTATTGTAAAAGTCCAGTATAAACTACTCTAAAGTGTTTTGTATTCCTATACATTTTATCCGTCTAATTACTCATGATGAGTAATTGAGTACTGCAATTATTTTGATAGATTTGATATAACTTAATTACGTTATATAAAAATATTATGCGTTATATAATAATTAAAGTACATTATTTTTAACCCTCCTTCCCTAATTTTGAGCAAAAATGGCAGTGCTAGTTTATATTTTTTCAAAAATGTTTGCGATGACCGTTAGAGTTGTTTTCAGATTTTACTTATATTATTTATAATAGAGAATTTATCGAAAATATCCAAAAATCATCTGTTATAAGTTTATAACTTATAAAGTATAGGTTAGGTTATGGTTGTAACACACACACACATATATATATATACACACAGTGACAGTATTGTAAGCTATATCTTGCAGATTAGTTTTTAAATCGATAGATTTAGATTACATGAAACTTTTTAGCACTCTCTCAGTTCTTATATCAAAAAAAGAGTTAACAGAACATATATAAATATATAACATTAAGTATAGGTATGTATGTTTTTTACATTATCCGTTGTCCATTGACTACAGTATTCATCGTGTAATAAATATGGCACGTAATATATATTATATGTTTACCCAAAAGTGTACTTACCGATCGTTTTCGGAAAAGTCCCGTACAGAAAAATAAAATTTTGTTTTACTTACTTTTCACCGTCCATAGTAATTAGAGTCGAAAGTCGAAACAATTTGGCGGTGGTTCATCTCTCTGTTCGTATAAGTTGTAAAACATATTTTGTTAATTCTCGATATTTCTTGTGATTAGTTCATAGTCATCGCAATAGAAAAAAAGCATTTATGGTCCATATGTATGTATTTTATTATAGGTAGATACTTGATACACCTAAAATACTTACATTTATACTACACTATTATTATCGGTTTTCTGAAACACAAAATAATAATGTATCATCATTACAAGTACACATGTTAATATGTTATATATATTATATATATATAAACTTGGTTTATCATAACAAATACATAATAATAATTATTATTTACTAATAGATTCTTTGTTATTTGTGTAAACTTGATTCAATTTAAAACAATATCAATATACTTGCATAGACGTGAGTAAAATATTTGCACGTGTACTATGTTTTGACGCAATTAGAAAGATGTACAGAAAAATTAAGACACTCACAAAAATAATAATAATAAAAGCCCTTTTTTATCATATTTTGATTATTTTTAATTAAATATCATCAGAAATATAAAAATGTTGTACTAGGTATAACTATTGTAAAATATTATATCTAATGGTATCTATTATGTTTTTAGTTATAAAACAATACGAAATAAACTCGAGTTTATTAATTTTGTATATAATAGTCAACAGGTCACAAATACGTTATTATTTATGGCACAAATTTACAATAACCATAATAATATTACATTATAAATTGACGAAATAAATTAAAACCCAAAGTAACCATGTTTTTATTTATCTATGACAATTGACAGGATACAGAATGTCCTATGGATGCGAGTGCGTTTACATTGGCTTGTATAATTCGTTAAACTGTTAAATTGTGTTGTTCGTGAATTTTTTTTTACAATTTTTTAAGACTATTATAGATTATTCTTTAATCTCTGTTCTATAACCAATGCTATTATAAACATCATCAATTACCTATATTTTACAATAGATAATATTAAACAAATAATATAAGATGTTCTTTTAATATTTTTAAAAAACAAAAAGTACTGGAAAATAAATTTACGATCTAGGTCTTTCAATTTCTAGCTATTCTATTTCTAAATCAGTTTGAATTTACTTAAAAATTTCACAAATAAATAAAAAAAATTATAATGGTATTACTGATTTGGGTAATCGAGAAACTGTAATTTTTTTATTCATATTTAAATATAGTACCTACAGAAATATACATTTAAATGATTAATACTCGTAATATAAAAACAGTGTAAAAGGTCTGGGAATTCTTTTCAATTTGTGCACACCCAAAAATGTTAATTTAGTTTCACGAAAATCACCACGTGACAATAATTAACTTAGAAGTATATATACGTAATAAACATTTAAGACTATACAATATTTGTAGGTATTCACTATAATAATAGTATTATAATAGCTTAATAGGTTAATTCCACTTTATTTTGTTCCAAAACATCTATCTTAAAATAAATCAAATATAGCAAGAACAAATATATAAATAGATAAACTATTTTGTTTATATGCTAATTATTGTTGTTACACTTTAAATACTTACAGGCTACGACCTACTTACAGTAAACAGATATCTATTTAGTTCCTCTTCTGTTAATAATACATTAAAAATGTTCACTTTGAAAAATGTATACATTAAAAATTATATTATTATTATAAATGCAGAGAAGAAAAAATAATTATGAATTAAATAAAAAACCCACTCTTTTAAAATTAACGTTTAATTTTAAATTTTAATCGCTATTTTTAATTTAAAATCTGAAATTTACTATAAAAATGTTAAGTTAAAAACAATAAAATATTGTTAAGTGGGTCATAGGTACATTATTAAAATGTCTTCATTTAAACTTTTCATTTAAAAAGTTTTTATAACAATTCGTTTATACATATTCGCAATTAACTCACATATTTATTTACTATTTGTCATTGAAGTGCATTTTATATAAATATTATTAATTAATTTCTCAGACGTATCTTCATTAAAAACAGTGCTTTATTACAATGTTTTAAAATATTTATATAATTGTTTTCTAGGAATTTAGTTATTCAAAGATACAATAAGAATGAGAGTTTCTTGAAATGTTAAGGTAAGAGCATTTCACAGCACATAATGAAAAATAAATTTTTTTCGAAAGTTAAAAGTTTCCAAATAATAATAACCACAATGAAACGTACAGAATATAGTTGTATAAATTAAATATTATTCAGTCGCAAAATGTGTAGCAACTCATCACTTTTACTTAGAAAAAACAGAAATAAAAATAAAATGTAAAAAGTTATATTTATTAATTATTAGCATTACAAGAAAAATCTAATATTCGCCTTATTTTTTTATTATTTGACATTAAATTACTGACCCAGGTTTTTGTTTAAGAACAAGATCGTTGTACATATGCATAGACCACCCAAAAGTGAGTTTCATGGTAAATGATAAACCAATAAAGAACTATATTCATAATAATGTTTTCAATTGGTTGTATTTGACTTTTAGTTATTATATGAGTACATTATAGATATAAATATTAAGATCGAAACAAATAACGAAAATTAAATTAAATCACAAGTTGTAATTAAATATATTATAATACATATATTTATTTAATAGAAAATTGTTTATATTGTTTAGATTAATCTAGTTAAAATATTCGATTGAAAATATTCTCATTGGATTTTGAAGCATACATTTTAAAATTTTAAAGGAAAACTCATACCTAAAATCTCATCATAGCAACTTCTACAAGGTATTAATCTAAACAATAAAAACATTATATGAATGAAAAACATTCTATTACAAAACTAAGACTAGGAAGTAGCTTATAAATATATTTATTAATTGTTTATGTATGCTTAATATACCCATATAATATATGGATATTTTGAAAATTAATAAACAAGCATAAACTATTTATTAAAAGTTACTTATAATAGGTGTATACGTATTTAATTACACATTTCTACATGTTTCTATAGTTTTTACAAATATTATAGTAAGTATTAGAATAACATATTTATTTTTTTAATACCATACTTTCAAATGATTTAAGCATTTCAATAATATTTTAACAAATTCCTTAAATAATATCGAGGAATTAACCATTTTTAAACTAAAATTCAAATTAAATATAAGAAATCACGTATCTGACATGTATAAAAAATAATTCTTCTTAAGAATATCAGATTATAAATACCTATCTATAGATTATGCCATTTTATAAAATATCAAAACTGTAAAAAAATCATGCTTAAATAAAAAATAAAAACATATTAGTATCATAAGTAAATTTAAACCAAATGAAACAACTTTTTTAAAATTGCATAGGAAATATGTATACCAGGTGTTCAATAAGTTTGGAAACTTTTAATTACCTACTATATACTTATTTTAATATTTACATGGAACCATAACACTGCTGTACATTTGCAATATAAAATATTTAATAACCTCATCAATTATATAGTTTAACAGTTCTAATTAATCTAATTACCATTTCCAAACTTATTGAACACCCTGTATATATAAGTATAATGTTATAATATTGACCGAGCAAATTAGTGTTGTGCGTTAAATGGATCGATCACCCTTGCATTAAAAAGTTTTGTTATCAGAAAATAAGTTAAACAATCCAACATTATTATACCTTCATGTATAAATGTACAATAAAAGTTTAATATATAAAGTTTTAATTTCTTTTGAACGAATCTATTTTCTTCTAGATGTTAAATTCATTAATTTATATAATAAAACCGCTGTAAACATTTTATATTATAATACGAGATATATAGTAATCGTATGTAATGTCTTATCTTAGTGCAGAATTTATGTAAGCTGTTCGATCTGATGAGTGTATACTCAATAAAATACTTAATCTAAGCAAATAATGACTGATGATTATGACCTCTAAATAATTTAATAACCATTAAACCACAGTCGGAGGGTATAATTTAAGTTTATATTTGAAATTCAAATTATTATCTAATAGAGGAGTAGGTGGCATCGGATACTTGAAGAACTTTCTTATATTAAACCGTCTTTCAAAAAATTAAATTCATACTCACTAATTTTAAAGACCAATAACAGTATGTGTCCTTCGAGTAACTTCTGGTTAAAATAAATATTTATTTTTTTAATGGTCCATAAAGTTTATAAAATTATAAAAAAAAAAAAAAAAAAAAAAACGAAAAATTGTTTGCAGGTTACACTAATTTATTATAATGGGATACTATCACTTAAAGTTTCTACCGAAAATTATTATATTATAATGTTTAACTCTAAAACCTATTAATCAAAACGTTTGAAAAACGACTTTCATCGAAGCTTGAAAACTAAAATTTAAAATTTACCCGATCAATTTTATTTTATTAATTTTTCTCGGCTGTTGATATGATTTTCCTAATTTTCACATGTGTACCACTTCAAAGGAATTTTCAGATACATTAATTGTCCAGTTCTTTCAATTGACTGAATATAACTCTACACGAATTTTGTACTACACTTTTACAGTATTAATTTAAACGATTGTTTACAAAAGAAATTAAAAAGTTTTATTCTAAAACCGATTATAGCTCATTCGTTATGCTCACAAAACAAAAAATAAAAAAAAATAATATTTACCAACGAAATACATCTAGAAAAATAAAACCGAACTATAACCATGACTTTTGATCATTCAAATTACTTATTGAACTCGTTTAACCTCTTTCACTTGACGACTTTATATAGTAAAATGCCTATATAAGTGAGTGAAAACAAAATTTAAATATATGTTTACCGTTTGTAAAACTACGTAATACCGTTTAATATTTATTAACACGAATCACTTTTTTATGCACACTTCCACAAACTTACATATATTTTTATTAGTAGTCGATAAAATATAATGTCAGTCATTGAATGTAAATTATGCATATTTACATGATTTGTGACAACAGCGATATGAGAACAAATCAACAAAATATGTAAATACATTATTATCATTGAAGATATGGAAACAATAAAATGTTTGTCATCTAAATGTCAGTAACATAATATATAACTACAAAAACAATTTAATTTATGAGACGTTTACCATTCAAAAATCGGTTGTTGCAATAATACTCATAATTTTTACAAAGTAAAGAGGCAAACACAGCCTGCAATGTATTATTTAAAATTGTATTTTAAATTCAGTGTTAAATATTTGTTATTTTTTATTTACCATCGTTTTTCCCTTATTAATTTATTATTCAAACTACAAATACGTTATACAATTTATTTATTTAAATAATATAACTATTAATTGTTCTTTGTACAGTTGCAGCACATAATATATATATTATGATATACACTTTATTGAAGCGTGCACAAAACAAAATAGATTTTTAATAATACTCGTGTATAAAACTTCAAATTCCGTTAAAAATATTTTATTTATCTACTAATATATTCATTGATATTTGAACATAATCTATTGTACTTAAAATCAATGTTATTAATACAATTATAAATAAATTCGTTGCACGAAAACCATCAAATACAAAAGTCAAAAATAAAATCACCCAATAAAAGTTCATACAGAATAGAACAGAAACAAGATGTTCAGTGTTAGATACTTGTCTCGATTCGCTGAGAAAAAATATTTTTTACATATTAAATTATTATAATTTACAATAATATATTATTTGAGACTTTAAAGCGATAATAAATCAACACATACAAACAATTATTGTTAACTTTATTGATAGTTTTTACTTTTATTATTGGGTGAATTATTGAGAAAATTGAAAAATTATCTTTTTAAAGCATTAACTAAACTCGCTTACATTCCCAACAACTTTTAAAGCACTTTATTTAAATCAAAAACATTTAAAGAATAATGTAATAATAATACAAAATAACAGCAAAAAAAAAATAAAAAAAAAAAAAAATACTAAATACTAATACATCTCTAGTACTACTTAGAACTTAAAAGTAGAAAAAGAAAAAGAAAATGTTTTATTAAAGATAAAATAAATATTATTATCAATGTTTGATAAACTTTTTACATTTTTGTTGTGTAATTAATAATTTTCAAATTTTATTAAACGTTTATATTTATAATGTTATTCTAGCACTATAATATGAATTACAAACCCCATTTATAAAAGCTACTTTAAACTTATTTTGATAATCAAAAATCACCAACCAATTAATTAAATATTTGTTATTACTAAACGGATCGTGCTTGAAAAAAAAACTATAAATTATAATATACTATTTATTATCATAATAATATGTATCATAATTCATGAGTATTAAAGGTATTATAAGATATTTACAATCAAATAGTTGGCAAATTTTTGCACAAATATTATTATCATTTTAACTTAAAATTTTGAAAACAACTGTGACATATATTAGTATTTTTTAATGCTGTAAGAAAAATTTATATTAAGTCTTGCATTAAACTTTGTATAAATAGTTTATTTATCTAAAAGCGATCATTTCATCAATACATATAAATAAAATTAAAAATTCTGATTAAGTCAACAATTTCAAAAAGAGTCAAAATATTAAAATAAAAGATTATACTATAATGTCGACTACAAACTTGTTTGTAAAAAATTATTGTTAGTTTTTCTTAAGAGTATTTCCAACTTTTGACTGCCAAACTTATCAATTAAATACAATTTACTGCCAGATACAACTCTAAATGTTGAACTGTTGAAGTTTTAATCAAATTATCCGTTCCAAAACGTAATAAGAGATTAACAGATACAAAAATAAAAATAACACAGTATTATAAAACATTTATTTATTATACATTCCTTGTCCTAATTAGAATCTAAAATAAACAGATATAATTAGTATTATATGTCCTAAATACAATAAATACACTTTTTTAAATTCTAACTTATTATTTATTATTATAATTCATTTTAATTCTCATGTTAATTTTTTATCTTTTCGAAATCTATTGAAATAAAATATCTTATCATTAAGTCAATACCCTATGTACTAATATTTAAATTAACTCAAATCTCAAATCCTCAATTTAAATGTACTTAAATCCATTTAATCAATCTTTTATATATATATATATATATGAATCTTATTTTATTTTGTTTCATAAATATTTGTATCACTTTATTATATAAATCGTAAAAAATTGATAAAATAATAAATATTTTTATTTATCTATTTTAATAATTTATTTACAAAATTAAATTGTATTATATAATTAAGTGCATAAATCACAAGGTTTTTTAACTACCTACTCAAGTCATTCAAGTTATGCTATCAACATGGAACAATTAAAGATGATATTCTGTCGGGTTTCATATGTTCTGTGTATATTTTTCAGCACAGTTTAAAAATTATTTAATCTAAAATAGTTTAATTATCCATCATAAACAGTCAATCCACTTTTTTAAATTTCCAATAAAAGATACGAATTAGTTTCTATATTGAACCTTTTCATGATTTTTTAATTTTGTATTGTAAGTTAATATTTTAATTATGATATAAAATTAAAATAATTTTCATTAAACATCTTAAATTCTTAACCATATTTTTAAATAGAAATGAATTTAGTCGCTTTTACCAAGTTATTAGTGCCGTTATAACTTGTGTAATTAAAATTCTTAACTCTAAATCTCATTAGTTATAATTTACCAAAAATCTTAAGTTAAAAATTTCATTCAATATTCTCATTTTTACAAAATTATAGAATTTAAATGATTGTATGAATACATTTTATATGAATTTGATTTATTTATATTGTTTTTCTAAAATAAATTAAAATCTTTCAAATTAAACGCAAGACTTACTGTTATAAAATATAAATATAGATTTATATAATTTAATTTTCAATGATATTACATTTGTTTTGATTTTTTTCAATAGATATTACAACTTTTAAAAATCGAGTATGAAATAAATTATAGCAATATAATCTGAAGCTTAGGTAAATTAAATTCTATTACTCTTATCATTATTCATTATTAATACATGTTATTAAGTGTGGACTATATTTATAAACTATGCCTGCTCCATTGTACCATAATAGAATATTTTTAAAAGTATATTATACCTATAAGTGATAAAAATATAAACAATCATCAGTGTTTTGTTACTAAGAAAATAAAATTAGTAAAATTGTTTTAGATTTCAAATGAAGTAAGGAATATATTGGTTTATTTTTCATTTAAATACCTTCCGATTTAATAGTTAAATTTTTAAACGAAAAACTTGTCATACAATTTTAATAACTAATTATGTTTACAAATTTAAAGTAAAGTAATAATTAAATTAATAAAAAAAAATTTTTTAATTCATCTTTTTAGTCATTATTAAGTATTAATATTTTTATTTTCACAATTAATGCGTCTGACTTTGATTTAATTTTATGTTTAACAAAGGTTACCCATTACAACACGTTAAATGTAAAATACTAAATATATAAATCGTAATATCTACAAAATTATATTTCAAGATTTAAATTAATGTACAGACACTTAGATTTAAACAGAATTTTAAAATAATCACCAATAATGTTGTAGCTGGCGTTCCAAAAAAGTTTAATATTATTTAAAAATATAATATTTGTGTTTGGTTTATTTTGTTTTTTAAGTTTAGGAATTCATAAAAATAAATCGGGTATATAATTTTATATATGGTTCATATTAAATTAAAATAATTCCACCACAATTCTTAGCAATTCCCTCAAAAATGTATTAAAACTACCTCTTCATGAAACCATTTGGGTTTATTGTGCAATCCATAATAGATGGAGGTTTAAAAAGTATTTCCTGAAAATGAAACATATATCATTGTAAAACCAATAGCTTTATTCATAATAAAAGTTCAAATTTAAAACTATAAATGATAGAGATATGCCAATACTTTAGTTAAGCAGTTTAAGAGAAATAATAATACAGGCAGATTTTAAATAAAAACAGTTAAAATAGTCGTAAACTTTCAAATTTTTTTTATTTATTTATGAAGATCTATATGAATGAGATCAAAAGTTTTAAATCGTTAATTTTTTTAAGACTAAGTTTATATTGTTTAAATAAAATAAAATAACTTAACATATTTACTTTTATAAATAATTATTCTATGAATTAAAACTTATTGTATATTATATAATATAAAAAAATTAAAAGTTTAATATTAAAATAAATTATATATATTAAAAAAGCCTAATTAAATAATAATACAATTATCAAAGCTTATTATTTTTCATGTATATTTATTTAACCAATGATATTATATTTACCACTAAGACTAAGTAGTAATTATACGTTATTATAATTATCGACACGACTACACAAGGTGTGTAATTAGATTTTATTTCTACAAACATTTCAAAACGTGATATTTACTTCTTTTTTATCGGTTTTGAATACAAATTCTAGTTTAATGGCTTATATAATACACATAGACACATTAATAATAATTGACATTGTAAAAACATTTGATTCCACAAATATAAGGAATCTATAATACAAGCGTATCAAATATATGCCTTATTATGTACTTAGCACATAATTACTTATATAATAAACAATACCCTACAAACTATTACACTAAAATAAAATATAATACGATGATATTTTTAACATAAAAATACATTTATTAAATTGGATATTGATGTTTCATTTTATTACTAGGTATATTAGATGCCTATTTTATTTTATGAGTTTTTAAATTAAAAATTCTATCAATATTGCAG